TTACGTATTTCGTTCATCACTTTGCATACGGGTCTGTAAATCTACCACACCACTATATACTTTTTCAAGTTATAAAAAATACTGATCAGCAACTTATTTCATTGATGCAAAAATTATTCGATAGGCTAATAATTAAAATTGTCACAGTTTTCCTGCTACGTTGACGTGGTGGTAGGGCTTGCCTATCGTGATGAACCAATCGAGCTATACTGGTTGGAACAATCGTTCATCATGGTCCTACTATGCCAGATAGGTCGGTCGAAGGGCGGTAAGACTAAAAACAACAAACCTAAGGTCTGAAGGCGAAGTCGTACTGCTGACTGTACAGAGGTGTGACAGCAGTAAGGTGTTTGCTTCAGACAACCAGCACAGCAGCGATGCTGCCTTCCCACAAGGAGATGTGGGGTTAGAAAAGGTCGACCCTAAAAGCGTACACCTCGCCTTATCCCAAGAATATCCATCTCCGGCGGTAAGATCCCAACAAGTGCGGAGCTAACACAAAAGGTCGTATGTGACCAACCACAAGAAGTTGTCCCTTGGGCACTGCGATCACGCTCCCAGTTCATTAGCACCACTTCTAATCCAATTTCCTTTTCAGGTACTTCTAGAAGAACCCTTCCATGGTGTGGGCAACCGGGAAGTGATAAACGCCTTCATAATTCTAACAGCACTCAAGATCACTGTATTCATAATCGGTTTCCCTCTTCGATCTCTATTATTCCTTCTACCTCGACTTTCAACTCTAAACTTCTTTTTTTGGCTTCCACCTTAAGTATCACCATGGCCAATGATTCTAGTGCGTGAAACATTGTCTCAGGTTTACCTCAGTCCAAACTACACATTGGAGCCTTCAACATACATACCCTACGTCAAATCGACTATTAGCACTTTTAGAATGGATTTCATTAGAAGTCGCCTATGTCCTGTCCGGCTAAATGGCGCCGTAAGAACTCGAAATTATAGGGACACACATCGTTGCCTTTTCGTCGTTTCTGTCTACGTTCCCACTGACTGCAATCCGGATGAAGTAAAAGATGATTTTTACAGAAAGCTCTCTGAACTTCTTTATAAAGCTAAACACTCAGAAATAATACTCGTAGCAGGTGACTGTAATGTCCAGTTAGGTGGCTTAAGCCAAACAGAAAGACATTTATGTGGGTATTTTGGTATTCCGGCTTAGCGAACAGATAATGGTGATCGTCTGTTGCAACTATGCTCAGACAATCGTTTATTCTTAGCAAACACTAATTTTAAGCATAAGGAGAGACATCGTCTAACATGGCGACCACCTGCACCAAACCAACGATGGACTCAAATAGACCATATTGCCATCAGTTATCGTTGGAGAGGCTCGATAGAAGATTGTCGCTCGTATTGGAATACATATTTAGACTCTGGTCACGCTTTAATACGAGCACGCATTTGTTTGCGCCTCACTTGCTTCAGAAAAACTACACTAAAAAACCCCGTTAGGATTGAACCAGAGGACGAGAAAGCCAAAAGTAATTTCCAGGAATAACTGATTTCACATGTAGGCGGTACTGTAAACGAGATTGGCCCAGATATTGATTGGAAATATATACGAACAGCTGTGGAAACAGCATTAACATCTATTAGTAATTTAAAGCAAAGGGTTCCAAAAAATCAATGGGTTTCTTCTAAGTCTATTGCACTTGTGGGTTCTCGTACGCTCATTCCATCGGACTCAGAACACGATGAAGAGCGAAAACAAATCAGATCTAGGATAACCAAAAGTCTAAGGAACGATCGTGAGCAGTGGTGGGCAACGAAAGCAAACGATCCAGTTTTAGCGATTAGGTTGACTAATATTTTAGTTGAATGTGCGAGTTGAACGTAACTCCATCTGACTGGTTGCAATCACTGGTCGTCCCAATATCTAAGAAGGGGTCAGAATCATCCTGTGATAATCATAGGCGGATTAGTTTGATTAATATTTCATCAAAACTGCTAGCCTCAATAATTGTGCGGCGCCTAACTAAGACTCGTGAACTGCAAACACGAGAAAATCAGGCTGGCTTCAGACCTGGTCGTGGCTGCATCGACCACATGTTCACCATTCCTCAGGTTTTAGAATACAGACATGCTTATCGGCGTCCGACGATGGTGGTCTTTCTTGACTTGAAAGCAGCATTTGACTCTGTAGACCGAGCGGTTCTGTGGCAGTGTCTGTCATTGAACGGAGTCCTCAGAAGTGCCTAAAACTTATGAAGGCTCTTTAGTCGGACATTACCAGTCGAGTCAAAGCTTATGGTGAGCTGTCATGTGTTTTTGCAACCTCAAAGGGTGTCCGGTAGGTCTGTCCACTATCCCCATTTTTGTTTAACTTCCCTAAAACCTACTGCTGGGAATAACACTCTCTTCGACTGAATCTTTAGGACTTGATCTCCTACCAGGAGGTCCACTTATCGACTTGGAGTACGCAGATGATATAGTTCTGTTTGGTGAAGGTGCTGATAAAATGCAGAGACTTTTGTTAGCATTGAGTAATAATGCCAGGATTTTGGGAATGCGTTTCTCCCCGTTTGAATGCAAATTGTTGCTCTAGGACTGAGCTGCGTCAACAACCGAACTAAGGATAGGGAGTGAATTAGTCGAACTCGTCGACAACTTCACTTATCTTGGAAGTCTGATCAGCCGTAACGGGTTGGTGTCTGATGAAATCTCAGCACGGATTCAAAAAGCTCGTTTGGCTATTGTCGAGTCACGTCACCTATGGCGTAGACGAGATACCCGTCTATCAATTAAGGGATGAGTATAATGCGCAGCAGTTCGTTCTGTTTTAGTTTATGGCTGCGAAACGTTGCCAGTAAGGGTAGAAGATACTCGTACGTTACCAGTATTTGATCACAGATGTCTTAGAAATATTGCTCGCACCTAAGGCCTTTATTGTAATGTACATTTGACCTTTTTGGTAACAGAAACTTGAATAAATGATTTCACAAATAAGGTAGTTTGGCAAATGTTCAGTATCATCTGTTGTGTACTGACAATTTAATAGCTATTGGATTTATAGTGCGATATGATGTGTGAATAAATTGTTCGAGACTTCATTTGGGTAACTCGTTGCAAACACTAACCACCTTTTAAGTTCATTTGTTTTGTATATGAGGAAACGATACTACGTTTATTCAGTTTTTATTTATTATTTTATGAAAACTGCATTTACGACACGTTTTGTAAAAAAAACAACTTATTATTAGCTTGTCTCGCTCCCTCTCAGTATATTTAGCTTTTAGAATTTCTTCAGCCTAGTCTACCCATTGATCACTTGAATTAATGAAATATTTTGAGTCAAAGGTTCTCATTCATTTAACTTTTCGCCTCGTACCGTATTACTCACCTAGCCTTGATAGACCTCTTTTCATTATTTTTCTTAAACGATGTATGTTATTCTTGAACGTAGTTACCCCTTGTTTCTGAAGTCGGAATTAAAAGATTAGTGTCATTATATCATAATTTTTTCCACAAGGAAATTCACGAGATCATGTATAAGTACTGTCACAATTCATAATAAATATACATTTTGTTATATCCTAGTGAACAGGAAAATTGTTTTTGACGTATCGTGACTTAATGCAAGCTGCTTCAAAGTAAATGAATGACCGAAATAAATTAACACAAGTTTAAATAGTACAAAGGAAACTTGTTAACTAAATTCGGTTATTTATTTGCTCCGAAGAAGTGGCTTGAATTAAATCACAAAACGTCAGAAATACAATTTTCTACTCATTGGGATATAACAAAAGGTGTATTTATAATTAGCTTTCTACCAAATCCTCAATTTATTTGAAACTGTCAAGTCCAACCTTGGCACTAATGCCTATAATTGTTATATCTACTTTCGTTACGAAGATTTCATTACGAGTATACTTATTTATTAATCGAATGTAATAGAATTAGCAATCAAGTCAGCAAAGTTTAACATTCTTTTAACGATTAAAACAAGCCTTCTGTCGAAATCATATTTTACCTTCCTGGTATCCGTTCAATCACGTTCACCGCCCTCAAATGCCGTGGTATGGCCGAGAGTGGGTGGAGTCCGCTCTCCCTCTCGAAATGCTCTCACATGGCCACGCGTATATAGCCCCTGCCAGGGAAGTCCTACTCACTGCCTTCTCTGGCGGGGGTGTTGTTCACGAAATTGAGAGGACGAAAAGCGAATGTCCGGCGCTTCAACCGGGTTGGTGGACACGGGGAGTCCACCTATAGGAGTTGCAAAACTGCGATTTCATACCAATGAAAAACATGGGCTCCAGCACCCTAGGGGAACAAATGGCGTACGAACTAATTGTTGGTCACCGGCTACCATAGGGCAGTATTTCCTCACGATGCTCCACTGCCTTGTGGGTCAGATCTTTAGGTCAAAGGCTGCGGGTGTGGCCCCCTAAGAAAACCACCTGCTTCGGGATGGGCACCCGGGCAGTATCACAGTTCTCACACAAATCAAATGAGATTTGTGTGTCGCATATATATCTGGTGCTCCTTTGTACCAATATTTGTATTTAAATAAATAATAATAAATACCGACCCTAGACTTAAAAAATCGGTCCCAATGAATTCAAAGGTTTCATTCATTACATGCGAATGTATGTTGTTTAAATTGTATTTATTATCCTGCTTATCTATCCTTCCTTTCTCAACGGTAGGATCTACGATTTTGTTTCTACCAGACATTGATGCTACTTTCACTCCGTTACATTTCTCTTCTATCTCCTCACTTGGCTAGTATATTGTAACCAATATTCCTTTGTAGAAGGTCTCACGGTATAACTTAGCATTAATTATTTCACAGGTTACATTAAGTTAGTTATGAGTCAGTTACTGAGTAATTTCCAACCAGTTTTCTAATCATTTGACCTCAAATCACACAAACTTAATTTTTTCTACGTTCTTAGATGAATTATCTTTTAAAAGTTTGTACTTTTATGGTTTGTGTTATTTTAGTAGATTGATTTTGTAAATGTTGATTTTTCTTACAGATTATTTTGGGATTTTTCACGTACAAATTCTATAAATCAACTGAAATACAGTGCTCTAACCTTGCTTATGGAGAAACTGACAATTCGCGTGGATATCATGGTTTTACCAGTGACGCGGATATGCTCGATGCGTCGGGAACAGGGCCTGTAGATCCGGATACGCCTGTCACCCACTCAAATTTTGATTATCAAGTGGGTAATTACCGTGCAGGACTAGGTGACGTTTATTCTGCAGAACCAATGGGTGGTTATCAACCTTAAAGAAGTGTAAAGACAGCCATTTGTTTGTTTTGGAAAATATTTTCCTTGTAATGGCGTTTTGCAAATGTTTATATCCTCTCTCGAGTACATCTTCATTTTTTTTGTACGCGTAAAAGTTTATTTTGTGTTATCTGGACTGTTTTTTTCTGTTCATTTATATCATCACTGTGTCTTTACTTGTCATTAATATTTGGTAAACTTTACTGATATTTTTCGTACATCCGCTACTAACTATTTGGCTGTAATAAATTTGTCTTGTTCAGTACTTTCTTACTTATATCTGCATGTTTCTGCTTGCCTAATATTAGTTACTGTGTTGGTTGTTACATAGTTATGGTTGTCCAATGATCATTGTTGTTTCTTGGGATTATTAAGACAGTCGTATTCTTGTCAACCAAAAGATAAACGGCTCCTTCAGGTCGATCATTTTCTAATTAGCATAAGAACTCACCAGACACTCAGAGAAGTCACCATAAACTAGTTTACAGAAATCAATACCATCAGAGACTATCTGTTGCCCGATACACAGAAGAAATTACGACGATTTCTGGGACTAATAAATTATTACAGACGTTTTATTCCGAATTGTGCGGCAATACTTCAACCAGTGACCGATGGGTTACGGGGACACTCCCGGACATTCCAATTATCAGCAGAGGCAATACAGGCCTTCGAGAACGCCAAGAAGGCACTCAACAAAACGACGACATTAGCTAGAAGAAAGAGCGAAACACCATTAGCTATCATGACAGATGTATCGAATGTGGCGGTAGGAGCTGTTTTACAACAGTTAGTAAATGGCGCATGGGAACCGCTTTCATTCTTCTCAAAACGACTGAATCCTACGCAAACGAGATATAGTACTTTCGGAAGAGAATTACTAGCAATTTACTTAGCAATAAAACATTTTCGACATATGGTAGAAGGCATAAATTTTACTGTTTACACGGACCACAAACCACTCACGAACGCACTAAGCGCAAAGCAAAATAATTACTCTCCGAGAGAGATCAGGCAGCTAGAGTTTATTTCCCAGTTCACTTCTGATATACGATATATTAAAGGCCAAGAAAACGAAGTAGCTGACGCACTATCAATAACGACGATAAACACTCTCGTCCAATTCGAAATCGATTATCACGAATTACACAACGTAGATGTCAAGTTAAACAGACTGAAGTCTGACAATACAACCTCTCTGGTACTAAAAGAACCTTCAATCGGAGAAGTGAGTATTATGTGCAATATTCCTACGGGCCGACCAAGACCACTTATACCGAAGCCTTTAAGACAAAAGGTTTTCGACACTATGCATAATATATCATATCCTGAGATAAAGACCACGATCAAATTAATCAGCGAACGTTTTGTATGGACAAGTATGAACCGAGATGTTCGTAATTGGACGCAAACTTGCATTAAATGCCAAAAAGTTAAGGTACATCGTCACACCAGTTCCGCAATAGGTCCTTTTCGTCATCCTGATAGCATATTTGAGAACATACATATTGACATTGTAGGACCACTGCAAATTTCAAATGGTTTTACTTATATTTTTACCTGCATTGATAGATTTACGCGATGGCCTGTAGCAGTACCTATAAAAGACATTTCGGCCGAGTCTATAGCCAAAACCTTAGTAGAGCATTGGGTCTCTCATTATGGTGTGCCTGCAAATATTACAACCGACCGAGGAGCCCGATTTGAGAGCCACCTCTTTCTACAACTCACTGAACTCCTAGGAATCAAACGTATTCGGACAACATCCGATGGCGAATGGTATGGTAGAAAGATTACATCGGCAACTCAAAGCCTCTCTTACATCTGTTATTAGCAATATCAATTGAGCCAGCAAGCTTCCATTGGTCATGTTGAGTTTAAGATCAACAATTAAACAAGATATAGGATGTTGCCAAGCAGTGTTGGTTTACGGAACCACTTTACGTCTACCAGAAGAGTTTTTCACATCAAGTAACAGTGTTCCAACTGATTTAGCCAACTATGTACAACGTCTAAAGCAGCATATGAGTAATCTAAGAGTAACACTTCCAAGGCAACATCAACACCGTGTGTATATACCAAAACAACTGAGCGACAGTACTCATGTATTTATCAGAAGGGATAATGTGCAACGCCCCCTACAACCGGCTTACGATGGTCCATTTAAAGTTATTAGAAGTAATGATAAAACTACTACAGTAGATAAAGCAGGAAAAACGGATGTAATTAGCATAGACCGAGTCAAGCCAGCTTTTATCGAAGCTGACGATCAGCCAGTGCATACAGATTATTCGAAAATCGTTGAGTCACCGAAACGTGAGTCTTAATCGTCAACGACATGAACGAACAAAAACGAAGAGAGTTCAGTAACGACAAAATATGCTCGAAGAGTAAGATGGCCTCAACGATACATAGCTACGATTTTGAACCAATAATTTCTTTCGCATCTTCAGATGTGAATTTCTTTCCTCTTCGTTTTGTATGTGCACATCGAAAACTTTAATATATCCATTATTATATTCAACAAATTTTGCATATTCCAATGTCAATGTATATAAACCTCTAAAAACACTAACACATTATTTTGCTCTGTTATTTTATCTGGCCTTGCGCACATATACGAACTCAAGCTTACACGTACTTGTAAGAATTCACACGATAGTTCTACTATACATTTAATTTCATAAATTTCGATATTTACTGTCCTGTTAAGTTTAATATATTTTTATTCGCAAACACAGACACTGTTTTGTATCCAAGTTTGCTGGGGGGGAGCTATTATAGCAACTCAGATATAATTGAGTTTGTTTACATCCAATCTGGCTAAGCTCTTTTGTTAACTTATTTAATGGACAGTCATTCATACATAACAACCTATCTATACCATTGTACTTTAGTTATATACTCTTGAACATTGCTTACTGCCTACGTATGTATTCATTCCGCTAGCATTATTATTAATCGTTTAATTGATCCGATGACTCATACTTTTCCACTTATATATATATATATCTTAATCCTGTTTACTGCTTGCTCGCTGCTCTGCTCTACGCTACACCGTATTGTGCACGCTTACTCACTCATTCGGCTCTCACGCTCACTCGCCTGTTTTACGGCACTGCTCTTTCATGCTTGCTTAACGTGCCCGTAATATTGGATACCTGTGTGTGGTTCAATAATAAACGCAATCAACACTTCATATTCGCCTTCTGATTTATACACCGTCAGGACTTTATGGAGTAACGGTTATCAAGACGAATAATATACGAAGTTAGGGATAATATCGAATCTCGAGCACCACATTGTCTTTAGAATACTTTTGCCAACAGGTCTTTTTTATTTTCTTTAAATCCGTTCCGTGACAAAGCCTGTGGCTGCTTAGCCATGTCAGATCAACAAGAAATAAATTGAAAAGAAGTAGTCCTGTAAGTCTCCGACATTGATGCTGACTTCATTCGTTTTACTAAATATACCCTAGCTATGGTCACTCCGTCACGCATCCACACCAGATCTTGAGTGGGTACGCTATACTTCACATCACTTACAATAGCTTGTCACTTTAAATCAAGTAATTCTCGGCACACATCATCTCCCAAACATTACCTTCGAGCCACTCCATTCCCTACTAATGGTTGGACTGCTCAAAATACTTGGTTTAAAAATTTTTATGAACACTAGGACTGTCAACACTGAGTACACGTGTTATCTTTCCCTCTACGACGCAACTACATTTAATTTAAATTCTCAAGTTTAACTCCCATTAGTGTAACAACTTAGGTTGTTGGTTGAGGACCTCCAGTTAGGATTAAAACATTAAAGTACTTGTATAGTTCTTTACTTTGTGTAGACCTTATATTTCCTAAAATCGTGTATTGAATGTTCAAGGGTTCGTTAGTATAACTTAGAGCCTATCGCCCCAATGGTTACAGGGATCCGGTAATAAAGGCCCGAAACAACTATCTTGCAGCTTGTCCTATTTCAGTACAGGCTACGGGTAAATACATGCTAGTTATAAGTATCTTTTTCGTCCCTATATGCGGTCAGCGTTCACAGTGTAGCTGTAAATAATTCCCCAAAATCAATAGCTCATTAAGTGTTCGACAATGGATGCTGACCACATTGTTTTAAGTGGACTTGTTTAACTGAAGGCTTTCGGTCATGCATCCGCACCAGATCACGTTACGACCCAGAGTTGGACACAGCTCCTACGTTCGCTAGCCAGATTAGAGTAAACGCTTCTCTATATGTTGATAACGGATCAAATATATATTTCCAATCTCTCCGCATCTGACTTCTGGTTTTAACTAATTGGAGGACGATTCAAATATAGGTGTTACTGGTTGCTAGTTGCAAAACTACAGTACCGGTCATATCGTCGACAGCTTATTTTCCATTACCGATGTTACTGTCATGAAATCTAAGTATTTGTCAAATATTTTGCAAAACAACTTAGCAATCGATCGTAAAGTAAACTGACTTCAAGACTACTATTTTCTCACCGACTTCTTGCGGATGTTCAAATCTTCTGATGATGTACAGAAAACCTGTTTATGCATTTTATAGATATCTGTCGATCGCAAGACAATACTATACAACACCCACATTCTTCTTTTTTTAGGTGGCAGGAAACGTGGGACATTGCAATTATGTTATAAATAATATACCTGCAAGATGTAACTCTTATCATCACTCTCGCAATGGGGAAGATGGTATACTAGGTTATGCATCATCAACGCAACCCCAACATGCAGGCACCTGTCTTAATTGTCCACCAAAACAAGTACAACAAATTATTCAACCTTACCAAAATAAGGATTTTTTTCGGTCTCCAGAGATCTCCTGTTTCACTAGCACTACAATTCGCTCATGCTATAGCCCATGCGATCCGGCAAACACATTAAACCATAGTCCAGACATAGCTAGAACTCATACCATCGATAAGGATGCTCTCGGTTTTTTTACACTACACACTTCCTTTTTAAACTTATTACTTATTAACG